GACATGGGCAGGAGCAATTCGCCCACAGTCCCCAGTGCAGTGCCGAGGAGATACACAGCTTCTCTGGTCTAGTAGCAGGGGTGCATGAGTGCTACCAGAATTTTCCTGTGCAACAGCATCATTATTTGTACTGAATTGTCTTCTCTCTTTTCATCTTTCTCCGGTTTGCCAACTTTTGTTGCCATTTGTGGTCCAGTCTTTAACTCTAGGTGGGTTTTATTGTTTTTAATTTATTTCCTCCTTAACAGCAAAACCAGATTAATAATGAACTGATGGGGTGGGGGTCCTTTCATGGTAAGAGGGCTGAATTCCATATGGATGCCAGCAAGGCATCCATATGAGATGCCTGGTGTTTGACCGTGATGAGCTCCAGCTCATGGGTGCCATTCTGCAGGTAGCGGCTCTGCAGCCATTCCCAGCAGGATGCCAGGACGGAATATGTCCTTTCAGAAAGCAACAGGTGCTTGCTGCATGCACGCTCCCTCCCTTCCTGACCATCACAGCTCGCCTCTTTTTCAGCTTGCGGAAAAATACGGCCCCATCTTCACCCTCCACTTTGGGTTCCAGAAAGTTGTGGTCCTGACCGGGTACGAAGTTGTGCGGGAGGCGCTTGTGAACTACACAGAGGAGTTTGTAGACAGACCATCCATCCCAATATTTGACCAAATTCAGAACGGAAACGGTACTAGAGCAATGATGGGGGTGGGTGGGAGGGACGACACCATCGCTTAGTGCCAGCCTAGCTGTGCATCCCCGGAGCCCGGCTTTTAAACATCCCCCTTGGGCCCTTCTGAAGCCAAGCTGACAGAAGACGTTTGGCTTTCCTCACTTGCGCTCAGTGACTCCTGGCTTTCCATCATTTTTGCTAATGCACTTGCAGCTGATCCGTATCCTAAAAGTTCAAGGGTGAGGAGTGGGATTTTTAAAGGCACTGTGGTGATTCTGGGGTTAATTTCCATAAGGTGTTGATGTGAGCAGTTCACTGCCACCACCACGTTTATGAACCTTCCTCATGTTTTCAGGGGACTTTGGACTAAGTGGTTTGGCTGTTTGGAGCTGTAGGGTTTTTCCCTTTCTCCCACTGCCAGGTGCCTCAATTTTGGACATTATCAGTCCCCACACCTTTGCCTTCTCACAAAGGCTCTTGGATGCATGAACATGAAGTAAGTTTGGGCAGAAACAATAGACTGAGGCTGGAAATTCACCCCCACAAACAATCCCATAATTTTTCCAAGGCAACTCTACATCCCTGAGTATTTCAGAGGACATTTTGCCTTGTTCATCCTCTGCTTCACCTGAGGCTTTAGATTTAAACCCAAAATGAAGCTTTGTATGCTGGTCACAGGCTGAAGTTGGGATTAGAATTAGAAATAAAATTACCCAGCCATAATATCAATAGATGAATTTATTGCTACATATATAAAAGGAATCGATGGAGAGAAAAGTATTTTTTAGAGCTAATTTACATGTAAAATATCCCTGTGGGAGACTGACAGTATTGCACCATAAGTCCTTTCAGACTTATCTTCTCAGCCCAAGTCTGAGGCACTTAGAGGTGACCCAAAGATGGAAGTTCTCATTGTTAAGTAACAATGGTCACAAATTTTCCCCATGAAACATTTTTTCTCCAGAAAATGCCAATTTGTTGACTGTGAAGCTGTTCTCAGAAAAGGAATGATCCAGATGAAATTAGAGAAAAATTAGAAATTGAAGTTTAGAAATTTGCTTTGAGATTTTTAGAGAAAAAAGTTTTGCTTTCCAAATTAAAACTACACTGTTTTAAAACAGAGATTGCTCTAGAAAAAGCAAACACATATAAAAATCTCACAGCCAAGATGAAGACGTGAAGGGCTGGAATCCAGTTTTTAAACTGACACAATCTGAGATAGTTTTTTGATTATTCACCCAATTTTTTCTTTACAGCACTCTGACAGGATGAAACACCCATCCCTGCTTGAAGGTTTTAGTTATCAACCAAGCATGAGCTCAGAAACCTCCACAAAAATATCAGTATTTTTGCCACTGCTGAAAATACAGCATTGCTGGGAATCTCAGTAAAACAGTTTAGCACTGACCAGGGTTGAGAAGACTAAATTATTCTATCCTGTATAGATAAAACACCTTTATGACTGGAATAGAACAAAGGGAGAAGCTTCAGAGATACAAGGTTGTTGCTTGAGGCCTTAGACCTGTAAACAGTGGGGTCGGAAAGGTTGCATGATTGACTTAAACCAACATCTCCCTCCAGCTCTACAGCCAACCTGTACTGGTCTGAAAGCCATCCCTGCTTATCTGCCACGCAGGAGAGGGCTGAAGTAACTGGCTTGGGAGGGAGCTTGTTTTCCTCAAACGACAGGCTCAGTGAGACTGGGAGAATGCAGCTGAGAGGATATAGGGATGGGGCCCATAGAAATGAGAGACCCTTAGTCCTTAAATCCATGGGAAACTGGGCAGCAGAAACACTTGCGGAGATCCTGCCTCATCCAGTCCTGTTTTGTTTGGTGTGGTGGGGCTCCTCCGTGCCTGAGCCCAGCACCATGTCTCACGGCCTCTCCAGGTCTGTTCTTCTCCATCGGGGAGCTGTGGAGAACAACTCGGAGGTTCACCGTGTCCAGCATGCGCAACCTCGGCATGGGGAAGCAGATGATAGAAGGGAGAATTTTTGAGGAGCTTCACTTCCTCATTGAGAGGATCAAATCCTTCAAAGGTGAGCTGGAAACCATCACTGTACAGCTGTACAGCCTCATACGTGTCACAGCTGCTCGACATCTCACAGCATTCCCGTCCTCCTCCCGTTGCAGGGGAACCTTTTACCCTGCCGTCCTTCAACTGTGCTCCCATCAACGTCACCTTTGTCATGCTGTTTGGGGACAGGTTTGACTATAAGGACCCAACATTTCTCACTCTCTTAAGACTCATAGATGAAGTTATGATTCTTCTGGGATCTCCATATTTAAACGTAAGTGACCTGTCCCACAGATTAACAATTTTTTACACTGGCACATCACGTCTGTGAGCTACACAAACCATAGGATTTGCTTCAGCAGTTTTCAAATGTTCAGAACCAGCCATTAAACCTAAAATGTGACAGTTCTCCATGTGTCACCTTGGTCACCATAAATGTGCTGCCAGATTCCCCTTTGCTACTTTCCTTTTGATCCTGCACATCCATGTGGAGCTAAAATAAGAACTGAACTATGGTTACTTTAGCTCCAGAGATTATTTTTTGAGGGGGTTTCAACATAATTGAACCATCTAGGCTTTCTTTGCTGCATTTCCTATAGGCACATTCATTGTTGATGTTTAGGTGAGTGACACTTCATGGATTGCATTAAAAATGCTTCCTTAGAGAGTGCCAGGAAAAGTTGGCTCATCTTCAAACTATCCAGGCTGATCTTCCACAACTGATGCTGGAAAAAACTAACTAGTCCCATACTGACCTAATCTGGCTGGTGGCCTGGCACACTGCAGCCCCAACTCTGTTGGGAGGCTGACCAGGCTGTTACCAGCAGACGATCTGTTCCCACAGAACAGCACAAGTGCTTAAAATTTGGTCATACTAAATAAAGACTCAAATGGTTGCAAAGCTCTCCCTATTGAAAATCTGCCCAGGAAGTCCCTGGGATGCTGAGATATTGCTACTGAAGACAAAATTCAACTGATATGTTGTGCCTTGGGAAGAAGCTGTTTTAGCACCTACCGAGGTCATGGGTTTGATCTCTCTACCGGCCATTCACTTAAGAGTTGGACTCAATGATCCTTGTGGGTCCCTTCCAACTCCGAATATTCTGTGATTCTGTGTGATATTTCTGCAGGCCTAATGCTTCTCTTTTTTAATTCCTCGTTAGTATTTCAATTTCTACCCATTCCTTGGATTTCTTTTCAAAACCCACAAGATTATGCTTAAGAAAATAGAAGATGTGCGTGCCATTTTAAGGCAGTACATGAAGGCGAGCAGGGAGGATATCAATGAGAACAGTGTGAGAAGCTACATCGATGCACTCATATTCAAGCAACAAGAGGTATTTGACTGCTTAGCTCTATTGACTGTTTCTAATGTCTCCTTTGGATTTTCTAGCTAAAACAGTTGCTAAGTCTTGATTTCAGCCATGTCATGTACATCTGTTGAAATCCATGCTGTTATTCTAGTGGTGTTGAAACCAGGCATCAGCCTCTTATAGTTGGTGCATTTTACTGCAGGGATTTTTCTATCAAAATTAAGATACCAAAGCTACAATCTCAGTGCAGTCCTGAAATAGCAGCACTAATAATGTGAGCTTCTTGTTCCTAGTAGAAAATGCATGAATTCACATGAAAGCTGACACTGCCTTTCTTTTTACGACAACAAATCAATTAATCGTTGATACTGTTGCTCTAAGATAAATTATCTGCTTAAAGTACTTGAATGATAAATCATCAGCACAAGTCCTAACCCTGCCCTGCATCTTACTTAGTAGAGATTTGGCAGTTTCACGCATCAGTTGATTTCATTCAACATAAAATACTTGGGCTCTGGGGTTTTTTCTTCTTTCCGTCTGGATCCAGGCTGACCTTAGGCACTAAGTATTCTACTCAGTTCTGTGGAGGAAAAGTTAGCACAATTCTAAAGGCCAGGCAAAAAATGGCCTGAAAGGTGATTTTGGACATTGTTGGGGATTCAAACCTACCCCTGGGCAGGAGTAGTCCCTCAGAGGTAGGATTAGCTGAATCTCCTTCTGTACAGGGCTCTTTCCAAACCTGCAAGGCTGAGCCTGTGAACAGCACCTGGCTCTGGGCTTTTTCCTGCTTCTGGGTGGAGATGGATATTGAACCCAAACCCCACTCCAAACTTTCCATCTGTGGTGCTCCCATCTTTGGTGAGTGCTGTGCATTCAAGATCAGGTATACTATCTTAGCACCCAGTTCGCAGACACGAGGCCATTGTGGGCAGTGTCGTAGGCTCTGCAGTATTCCCTCAGCTTGCTGAATACTAAGACTGATGTTTTTAAGACCTTTCTTACCTCTTGTGTTTTTCAAGGAGAAAAACAAGAAAGACAGCCTCTTCCATGATGACAACTTAATGGCATCCATCCTCGACCTGGTCATGGCAGGAACAGAGACCATAGCCACCACGCTCCAGTGGTCCATCCTGCTCATGATGAAATACCCAGAGATTCAAAGTGAGCAACTTTTACCTACACTCCATCCATGGCAAGGCTGAAATGGGGAAGGGAGAGGCCTGGCCTCAGATCCACAGAAGCTCTTTTGCCTTAAGAGCTGAATCCTGCCTCTTCATTGTGATGAACTGATGTAACCAGATGCTGATTTAGGTCACAAAATAGTCCCTTTGCTAGTCTCTTGCTAGGAGAGAGGATGAGTGGAGACCAAAGTATGATGCTGAGGAAACAACCCATCCATGTGCCTGAACTAGACACAGAGCAGGGAAACCCACATTGGTGCTTTGAGAATCCTCTCCCTCCAAACTCTGGAATAATGGAGTCCCAAAACCAAATCCAAGGAGGGAGTTGGCTTCCTTGCTGAGACAAACATCCCTTTTGTTTTTTCCTTCCAGCAAAGGTACAGGAGGAGATTGGGAGAACGGTCAAAGCTGGAAGCTGGGCCACGTATGAGGACAGGAAGAACATGCCATACACAAACGCGGTGCTACACGAAGTGCAGAGGTTTATCACCCTCCTGCCCCACGTTCCACGGTGCACTGCTGTTGATACTCACTTCAGGGGCTACTTCCTCCCCAAGGTAGGTACCTGCTCCATCCCAGGAACAAAACACCATTTGTCAGTGTCACTAGAGAATGGTTTCTTTATAGCCAGTTATAGGATAGAGTCCAAAATCATCCCCAGAAGAGTTTCTATTTTGCATCCAGAGAGACTGGTATCATAGGACTCAAACCATTCCCTCTCATACTCAGGACTTACTCCATGAGTGACCCTGGTTTACCTCCTTGCTGCCATCTGCACAGTGAAGTAGCTGCCAGAGAATTTGTAGGATCTTACCTTCTACTTGAGGTTTTCACATGGGGTTTGGTTTCAGTCCTTGGCACTGGTGGGAAAATCTCACTGATCTCTCTCTTCTGGGTGATGGGATAAAACCCTCAGGGTCTCCACCTATTCCAGGTGGAGCAAATCTCCCGGGACACCAAAGTCTGTGTGACAAAAATGAACCAAAACAGAGCACTTTGTTTTCTTTTGTTCCTTTGTGTACCTTTCTTTCAGGGTATAATTGTAATCCCATCGCTTACCTCAGTGCTGCTGGATAAGACACAGTGGGAGACACCATATGAGTTCAACCCCAACCATTTTCTTGATGCTGAAGGGAATTTTGTAAAGAAAGGAGCTTTCCTGCCCTTCTCCACAGGTAACTAAAGGGCTGATCTGCACACAGAGCTGAGGCTATGGCAGGACCACTTCATTACAATATACACTTAAGAGGTTTCATGGCCCTTAACTCGGTCAATAAGCAAGCAACCAACAATTCTGCATCTGGGCAAATGGATGCTTTCAGAGCCCAGCTCTCCAACCACTGAATCTAGTACAAAGAGGGGTAGGAAAGAAGAAACACACTCATTTAAGTAAGTGGAACGTTAGGATAAATTCCACAGGAAAAGCGAGTTTCAAACCATTCCACTTTGGAAGGAGGTGGCATTTATCTATCAGGCTTTTCAAAGCCCTTCTCAAAGAGAAAGGGTTAAAGGTGCTGAGAGTGTTGGAAGAGCTAAGGAGAGGAAAGGGTACACCATTAATGTGTAATAACCCCATAACATGGCTGTGCTCTGCTGCTGCAGGTGGCTGTGTGACAAAAGACTAGGCAGGCACACTGTGCCAGCTGTCTTTAACAACACAGGCTCCTCTATTCCAAAATGGTTTAGTGCATTTCAAGGTTTCACTCTTGCTCCCATTGCAACATCTCAGATGCTAATGTGTCCATGGCAAACATTCCAGTTTGATTTTTCCATCAGGTTAACTCTTTGCTTTCCTCTGCAGGGCGAAGGAACTGCATCGGAGAAAGCCTGGCCAAGATGGAGCTGTTTGTCTTCTTTGTAGGGTTGCTTCAGACATTTACTTTTCGACCCCAGCCGGGAGTTTCAGAGTCTGACTTGGACCTTACTGTCCCCCAAACGACTTTCACATTGAGGCCTCAGCCTCAGGCGACCTGTGCTGTCCTGCGTGAATAACCACAGCCTTGTTCAAGAGCACCCCAAAAACTGGGAGGCTGTTTAGACCCAGCTTTGCTCAAACTCGCCATCCCCTGTCCTGCCACATCACCCTCTTTCCCGTCCCCTTCCCATTGTCTCCATCCACTCCCACTCCACTGCTCCATCCACCCCATAGGTTGCTCTTTGCTCCTGTGCTTTGGGGGCTGTGTGGGATCAATTACAAGCCGTGATGGTGCTGACAATCACACCCCACTTCTCAAGACAGACTGTGCATGGAGCCGATGAAGGGACCCACCAGCTGGCCTGGTGACGGGGATGCAGCCATGAGGGTGTAACACCCAGGCTCCCACAGTTCATAATGTCACAGAAATCTGCCCAAAATCCTCAGGAAAGTGACACCATGGTTTGCTGGAAGCCACAGAAATACACCGTGGGTCACACAGCTGAACTATCCATAGGTACCTCCTGAACTTTTAGCTTCTGGCAAAATCCCACTAGGATTTTGCCCATCAGGCAGCCAAGTCAAACACTAAGAGTAAAAAAAACAGATCAATTCATGTGACTTGAGGACAAAGTTATTTCTGCCCTGGAATAGCGTCCTGGAAGATGCCCAGAGTCTGCAAATCTTTTCAGATGAGGAAGTGCTGCTACAACCAAGCTCAACACTGCTTCACAGTCTGAATGAAACAGGAGCCACATTTCTAAGCTGCAATTTAAATCACAAGGCCACGTGAGATTTGCACCAGCATCCCATCATAAGATGCTAATAATACAGAAAAATAAACTATACCCACCACTAGTTTTATGCATCTCTGTCTTTCCTGACCTTGTTAAATAGGAGCAAAGACTGTTCCTCGCTTCAGACCTCCCGCCCATGTCAGCAGTCATTCCAGTGTTTGGGATGGTCTGGCCTTTGGAACCAGCCATGCAATTTTCCTGCAAATGGCATCTAATTTCACAGTGCTCATTTTGCACACACACATGCACAGACAATTGGGATCAGGGATTAAATGAGAGCTGGTTTTGGTTGACTTCCTTTCCTCTGAAGCTCTGTCTGGCTATCTGTAGCTCTGATGTCCCTATCTGTAGCACTCTTGTCTGCCATCATATTCCACAATCTTATCCCAGCTGATGTATAGCTCATACAGTTTTTCATCCATTTATCTGCCTGTGACTTCCCGCTTCTACATATGCATTTTCTTATCATGTGCTTTATCATATTGTTTGTTTCTCCCTTCATGGGAACCCAATAAAGTTTTAATCCCACGTCTTCATTACATTTCCTATGTCTGGCACCCAACCTTGCAGTATACAGAAATGAAAATGCCATGAAAGGTTGATCCTGAGCCCAGAGTGACAATGAATATTATAATGTCAGATGTATCTCATGGATGAGAGGTTCTGCATACTCTCAACCTAATAAAAACCAGCTCAGCAGGAGACTCTCCATACCTGCAGGGTGGTTTCTCCAGGGCAAGTTGCTCTCCCTTTGTGCTCAGCTATGGGCTGTGAGTCAGCCCTGGGGACAGTCTCACTTCTTTACTCTTGCTTGCAGAGGCTGAATCAAAGGCTGCCACCACAGCTTCCCTCATGCTGGTGCTGGCCCTCTGCTTAGTGCCTTTGATCCTGAGCCTCTCACCTGTTTCCCTCCCAAAGCATCACCTGCTGGCAATGCCACTTTTGAGGAGTGGTGGCAGTGGGATGGAGTCTTCTCCAGGGAAGGCAGGGAGGGACAGGGGAGCAAACCACATATCAACTCCATGAAGGAAGTCTTGGCCTTGCTGAAATAAAAAAATACTTTTACCTTGGGCTTCAGAGAGGGCAGAACTGTTACTCCTCTACCCCCTCCAAAAGTAATGTGAACTCAAAAGAGAGATATGGCAGCAATCTAATGCTCTGGGGGAGAGTGCTGGGCTGAGCTCAAATCTGCACAAATTCACCAGTGGAACCTCAGACCTGACCCCTTGCCATGGCTTGGAAGTAGAGAGATGGATCCCTTCCTGCATGGCACAGCAGCCTTCAGAGCTGGCTCTCTTTGGACATCACCTGGCACTCCCCGGCAGCAGAGCGGAGCCGGCGGCGGTGCTGGCTGGGTACAGGGATTCAGTAATACCTCTGCCTCAACAAGAGCCAGGAGCTACCAGGTGCAAACGTCCAAGGAAAACAGGTTTCTGTGATTCCTTGGAAAAGCGCATCCTACTCATGCCTGCGTGGGCAGGTGGATGGAAGGGATCCCTCCCCAGCACACGGAATTACACAGCTGAATATATCTCCACCAAATGGAGTGCCTGTCTCCCATTTACTTGCTCAGTCAAGCAATGGCAGAACATTGATTAAGACTCAACTACATATTTATCTAGCAGAAAACACTGGCTCTCAGGGGTGGAAATACCATTTCCACGTTCCTTGGTGGCCCTGAGGGTCTTCCCTCTAGCTGCAAAACATGTTTGTGCCTTGCAACACTCACCCGAATCAAAGGTGAACACCTTGGGGCAGGACAGGTGGCTGGATGTTTAAAATAAGATCTGAGCAAACCCAATTCACAGTGTGTATGTGGCTCATGGCACTGGCAGCTGGCTGGGCAGCGTGTCCCATTGCCCAGGCTGCCATTCCAAGCACTGTGTCATGCTGGGATCAAGAGCTCCTGCCCTCAGAGGGGCAGTGATCAGCATCTCTACCTGCAGCCCTTCTGCACCGGCCAGAGCAATCAGCATTGCACAGAATATAATTCCTACTTTACTTTTGCCACGAGATGGCACCACGATCCCTCTGAGTCACAGCCAGCCCAGCCCTGTGGTCCTTCCCGGGCTAAAACCCTCTGCCAGCACAAATTGGGGCCAGGTAAGGAGGGCAGAGCTCAGCCTTGAGGTTTTATGCCCCCCCCAGTCCAACTGCATTCACCTGCTGCAAGACTGGGTACAAAGACATTCATTTCCCATTAACCTGAAGGAATCAAGGAATGATTGGGGTTAAATTCATCCGGCATCTCCCATTTTTCCCATTTTATCCAGCAGCACGGAGGTGAGCAGAGGATCACTGTTGTACCCTGCAGCACAACCATGCTCTGCTGTAGCATGTGCGGATGTCGCAAGTTTCCAGCTTCCCACTCAGCGTTCCTCCCTTTGGGCTGTGTCTGTAACCCAACTTCTTCCTCGGAACAACTAATTTCTGGGCTTGTACAGAACCATATGACCCTTCATTAGTGAAGATTCCCAATTCCCTGGAATTACTGGCTAATGCCTGATCTGGCCCTAACCCAGCAGGGTGGTGGAAATCCAGATTTGTGATGGAGTGTTCAAAAAACCTGCAAACACGGCCCTGAGGACATGGTTTAGTGGTGAACATGGTGGTGGTCCTAGGTCGACGGTTGGACTTGATGATCTTAAAGGTCTTTTCCAACGTTAACAATTCTGTGATTAAGCTACAATGGTTGTTGGCTGTTCCTAAATTATGAAGCAGAGAAAAGGCATGGGCCAGGCTCCCTTGGTGCCCAGCTGCTCCCTGCATCCCTCAAGCAAGGCAATGAGACAATGTCCTGGTAGCCCAGAGGCAGCACTGCTCTGCAGGGCATGAACAGCCACAGAGAGTGAAGAGAATAAGGAACAGACTCCAGGGTATGAAGACTGAGCTCTGGGAAATGGGAAGTTGTGTGAGTAACCCTGAAGTCATATTGCCTTCGGACTGGACGTGGAGGAGATGAGGGATTAGGGAACCAGCTCTTCCCCACAAGAAGCCCTGTGCTTGAAGTTCACTCACTCCTTGTGATGTTTTGCCCTGTGGGTCACTGGTGCCCTGCTCCCCCCTTCATCTGGAGAGCAGCAAATACCTTGGGAATGAAGGAGCCTCTGAAGTGTCAGCTGAGGGGCACCTGGGAACCTGTGGCAGGAGGGTGACAAATCTCCACACCTCACAGATCACTACATTGGGAAATGGCATGTTTTTCCACTCATCAAAGGTAGGAGATCAGCCAGGGCCAAGAACTCACTCAA